CTGCTGTTTTCCTTGGACTACGGAGTATTTGCTTTACTGAAGGAATATATTCTCTTACGTTTAAGGAAGCACTAGGGAATAATAATGCAGACATGATGTAACGTGGTCTGAGGTCAAACACACAGCTTCGTGAAGGTTCTGATTGTGCAGGGCTTGCTGCGCCTTACTTCAGATACATGAGCGCTGGTTTTTGAAACATGGTTTGTAACAAGCTGAGCAGAGTGCAACCAGAGAGAGACAGCAAAGTCTGAGAAAAACTTAGTGACTGAATTTTAGATTATCAGCTCTTTAGACTGGAGCATATGAGATGCAAGGACTTGACTGTGGTTTGAGCCTTGAGTAATTCTTACAAAGAAAAAGTTATGACCTCGTAGTGCTGCTGGGCGGATGGGGTTTGGAGAGCTAGGATCAAGACACAGTGAATCATTCTGAGGACCATTTCTCAGAAACAGCACTCCTCTCCTTACAGGAGAAAAGCTTCATGGCACCCTACCGTAATTTCCTTGGATTTCCTGTTTTCAGATTCCTTTTATGAACCAAGTTTAAAAATTATAAACAAAAACAAACCTATGACGTCTTCAGAAGGCACATGGGATTAGAGGATTTTTGTATTTAATACAGTAATCCTCTTTTGGAAATATATCTTAGAGCCTTAACAGTAAGTTAGTGTTTGCTTCTTTGTTAAGAGTGAGCTGATGTACAGTTTGTTTCTTGGCAAAGTTAGCACTGTTGAATCTATCAGCTAGGGTAGCTAATGCTCATGTCCTATATCTATAAAAAACAAAACAAACTCAAAAAAAAAGAACAGTGGTAAAGTGAGTTCTGGAACATCTCTGTATGCTCCAGAGACTGGCCAGTTTCCTAAAACTTAGCCCTTGCTTTTCTTCTACTCATACATTGTTGAGTTTTTTTCTCTGATTCTCAAAACCGTTTCATCACTATTGCCCAAGGAGGAAGCTCCTGCTTTGTAATTCTGCAACCTGCAATATGCTTCATGAGTCTCAGCCACATCAGCATAGTTCCTATTTCTAAGACATGAGTAAAAAATACTGTTCCCTCTTTCTTACAGCTCCAAAGTTCCCTCTCTTTTGATGCCGTGATTTGGATTTGTGATTCAAGGGGCAATGCTGTTGCTACCTCCTTTCCCTCCCACAAAGGTAGTGGGCAGCTCCCCCTCTCCCTCTCTCAAAGACAAATGCCAACATTTGCTTAGCTTGGTTTCTTTTAAAATGGCACCACATTGGCTTCTCAGAGGAGTGGGGGCTATGGATACTTTGCAGCCCTATGTCCCTTGGGAGTTTGAAATACTGAGGCTCAGTCTGCCTAACTTGTGAGAGCAAAGCTTCAAATAAGCAGCCAGAAGTGTAGATGCCCATTTAGCAGAGGCAAACTAATCCTTCTGCAGCTGCTGAGGGCAACAGGTCCTTCCCTCATTTCTAGCCTGAGGCAGAGGGTGGCTGAGTCAGGTCTGTGAGTTCGCCAGGCAAGGTGGCATCAGAACTGGGACTGCAACTCAGGTTCCTGGGAATCCAGTTATGCTACGTCATTACTGAGTTATGCTGTGCTCATAAAGGCTCTTGAATTTTATAGTATATGGAGAAAAGGGAACCCAAATTAATTAGTAGGCTCTTCATATTCTTCTTGCGTCTAAGCAAAAGTAGCTTCCTGAAATGGTCTTGGAGTAGCTGCACTGTCTAATCTCGGCAGTATTTTTCCTTCAGTTTTAGATCGTGAAATCATTAATTTAAGTGCAGAGAATCATAAAATCTCTCTTCTCTGCTCAGTATTCTGTATCTTATGTTCATTGCAGAGGCTTTTATAGAATTTTATTTTTTATGCATCTTTCCACCTTAACCAAAGCATTGTAAAGAATTTATTCACACAACTTGTAGTTGTATATGGATATATGCATATATTTATATATAGGTATATGTATGAGTGTGTGTAATATATTTCGGCATATTATCACCTCAATAATATGGCTCAACAAACAGCATTATTACAATAACGAAACAGGTGTCTGTAGTCCCATAAGCATCTTTAGAGGCAAAAAAGTATAAGGCTCCTAAACCCAACCAAATGGAACCTGTTGTTGTTGAAATAGTGTCTGCTCTGTGCAGTATTAAATATTTTGGAAAAAAAAAGTTGTTCCAGAATTTTCTCAAGTATTTGCTTTCTTGGGCTTTTGACTGCATTAGTACAGGTATTTCAATGAAATTCATGGAGTGTAAAGGCTCGTCTGGCTAGGCACACCTACACAGCACTGCGGCCACAGAAGAAGCACAAAGCCAGACAGAGCTAGCAGCAGCAGCATTTGTCCTACGGTGCCTGGAGGTCAGGGACAGTGTTGTTAAATCACTGAGCATGGGATCAGGTTTAGGCCTTCCTCTTCAATTGTTCTGCCAATCTGCTTCAAATTGGACCTGGAGTTTATTCAATAAGAGGTTAGGCTCCTCGGTATCCCCTTGATATCAGTCTAGGCTGTGACTGCCAAGAGAGGTTTTAGGGGAAGGCTGTTTTTTATGGCCTACAGCATTTCTTCATGAGCCCTTGTCTCTTTTTACAGAGTGAGATGATGGATGAATTGAGTGAACAGGGCAACCTCAAAGGCAGTCTGAATGACACAGTGGTCTTGGACCTACTGTGGTCCTTTTTACAGGAGGGGAAGAGAACTTGCCCACAACTGTGGAGAGCCCTTGGCTGAAACAGGGAGCGAGACCCATTAACAGTCTGGGTTGTAGCAAGAGAAATCTGTTTCCATCCTAAAAGGTGTTAATTTATCCCTAGTGAGACTACATCCATCCCAGGCCCAACACTCTACTGCCATCCTCGGTTCAGGGCTGGTTCTTCCCCTACAGAACCCATTTACATCTTCCTCCAGCCTCTACACAGTCTTTACCTTGTCCTTTCAGAGGCAGGGCATGGCCTCCCAAAAAGAGCTACCGCAGGATATCTGTGTCTGGCCTCGTGCCATGCTGATAGAGACATGTGGCAGCACAAAGGTGCAAGGCAATCAGAAAGATGCTGCATAGACTTCCCATCACACAATCATTTTGTGTTTTGTTTTTGGTTTGTTGTTTGTTGTTTTTCTCAGAGGTTTCACGACAGCTCGTCTTACTTTACAAATGTGTATATAGAGCTTGATCGTTTGGGTCTGACTATAGTTTGTACATCAATTAGTACCCGTTCAGTTGTCAGCAGCAGTGGAAGAAGAAGGGCTGCCAGGTTAGTCCCTTCTAGGAGTGTGCAAGCCATTATCAAGCTCTTTTCTGTGGCCAAGCCCACAGCTAGAATCCCGGTTGTTAGCAATTATGTGCCAATTCCTGTGCTAAACCAAATAATGCATTTACTATTTGTAGACCGAGAACATAGTAGTCACTTGTATGCTGTTGTTTCCTTTTCTGAGTACAAGGGGAGGGAAATCTTTAGTGTGCTGACCTGTCCCCATCCAAGGGACAACTATGGACAAATTCTGTGCTGTAGGCACATTCAAAAGCTTTATGACTGGATCAGATAACTACAGAATGATACTTTTTCTATTTTAGGTATTCCCCCATACTAAGCACTGGAGAATACTGCTGGCATTGTGAAAGCACTGTCTGAGGGAAAATAGAAATATTTTAAAGCACAAACCTGTACCTGCTACTGTCAGATGGAATTTCTCAGTTGTGTAAAAATAACACGTTAATGTAAACGTGCAGATGAACTGGAAATCGCCTTTTTTGATCAATGAGTTGCTAGTGAGTTGTTAATTACCTGGAGCTGAATGGAACATGTTCAAATGGGGAACTGTCAAATGATGGAATGATTTTTTGTAATCCTGCACATTTGGTATTGCTGTATCATATGAAAGTGTCATACATGCATTCAGTTGGACAGAGGAACAGGGCAGTTGCACTTTGGAGCTGAAAAGAAAAATAAACTAGTGACCTGCCTGTTTGTCTTGCTGAGTACCCTGTAAGATATGACCAGGAATGCTTAGGCTGTTTTAATTTGTATTTGTGTCAGATTTTTATTTCTTCAGTGTGAACTTTTCATAGCTTTGTAGTTTAACCTTGAAGGGGCCTAGTATCCCTTTGCTGTCATCTAGTTTTCACTTACTCATTTCCCACCCAGCTTGCCATGCAGCACTTTTGTGGTAATTATCTAATGCTGCAGTTTCCCTCGTACTTAGGTGGAGGCCCCTACCGTTTCTGCAACACTGATATTCTTGTTCCACGCTGGGGCTAAAAACCCCAGAGATGAGAGATGGTGAGCCTGTGTACAGACTCCAAAAGCTTGATTGCTTGTCCTGAATCAGACTGTACTGTCACTGGAAGACGCTTTGTTTGGATATACTTAATTGCAGCCTGCATTTCAAGGGGACATGTACGTTTCTGATGGAATGACTAAAAGCCTCTAGCATTAGTCAGCCTGATCTGTAAATCATTTATCACCAATATTCAGCATACCTATTCCCCAGCAACAGAACAGGAAATCCCAAAGAAGGCACAGTATGATGACACACGTGTCAGTCCCAGGTGGGCCCCTCTATTTCTCCCCCTCTCTCCCCACAATATTGCATCCAGCAATGTTTCCTCTCCAGAGGTAGAAAAGGATTGGTTGCAGTTCATTCTGATGGCTGACAGTATTTGGAAACGTATTCTGTAGAGAACTGAATGCTTAAATATACCTGTTGACCCTCTCCCCTCTCCTTTGCACAGGCCTGTGCAGTGGTCAGTCCCTGCCAGTGCAAGGGCAGCAAATTTCAGAGCCTAACCAAAATTTACTGCCACTGTCCTGTCAGACTGGCTGCAGACTATGCAAGTGTGAGGAGAAAAGCCCTCTGGCAAGCCATGCATGTTAGATGTACCCAAGCAGCAAGTCAGTGTGTTGGAGGCTGCGCGGGTGGACTGTGACAGAAGAAAACACCCTTACCATAGAATCATAGAATGGTTTGTGTTGGAAGGGCAGGTCATTCATGCTAACCGTTGTCTCTCTTGTTCTCTTATCTTCCCTAGGAACGAGTGGAGTATCTCTTTCTCATAATTTTTACAGTGGAAGCATTTTTAAAAGTAATAGCATATGGACTTCTCTTTCACCCCAACGCTTACCTCCGCAATGGCTGGAATTTACTAGATTTTATAATTGTGGTAGTAGGGTGAGTACCAACGTTTTGTCTTCGAATGAACTGCACATAAGGGGATACTGGCAACCCCTGGGAGCATGAGGGTGGGTGAATGCTTGGTACATTACATTTGGGTGATGTTAGAGGTTTCCGTCCATTATGTTCCTCCTACAACCACCATTTATTCCTCCTGTGTTAGCCCCGCTCCAGATTCCACATGTTTTACCGAGTTTTACTGTGTAACCTTGAAATTCACTGGTCTTCTGCAGGTATAACTTGATTTGTACTAATTTCAGGGTGTAGCAATGAATGTTTACTTTGAGGTAAATATTAGGGACTGACAATCAGTTGATGTACATTTTCTGTCTGCTATCCCTTGTTGCTTAGCCTTTTCCAATGCTTTTAATGGTTTCAAGACATGGAAATTAAACTGCTCTTTGGGAACAAGGATAAAAACAGGAAGCAGTGCAAGGCTGTTGGATAAAGTCAAATGCTTGAATATGCTTAACTGGAAGAAAATCCCTTTGTAAACCTCTAGGAATATTTAAAAAGTATATCTGTGTGGGATCCTTTAAGATTAGCATTGGATGACAAATAAGTTCTGCCATCTTGTGAGCTTTTACTGATGCTTCTCATTCTCAAAGATGGATGAAAAATTTATATCCCAGGTTTTCATACTTACAAATAAAAATAAGTTCTTTGTTCAATTGCACTGTTCTGCTGGTGATTTCAACGCTTTTAATTTTGACCCTTTTAGTGTTTTAACCTTTTTAAAGACTACTTTTACTATTGTAGATCAAATTGCCACTTTGAGCTGCAACCTTTCTAATCCCCTCCAAGTTTTTCAATCTTGGCATTTAATTTATTTGAATAAAAGCAAAATAAAACACCTTCTGCTTTTTCTACCTAAGGGTAAGAGATAAGCAAAGGGTTTGAATTGTGGTTGTTGAAGGGAAGAGGTGAAGGATAAACTATGCCTGAAGACAAAGAGAACAAGTATTTCTTCGCCTGAGTAATTTGTCCCATCCTCCCACCACTCCATTGTTAAAGAGTTTCATCGCCCACAAAAAACTTGCAGTCTTTTCAGCTCTTTACCAAGGAAATCCTGCATCAGCTCCTAGGGAAAGTGTCAAAAGGGACACTCTCAGTCATCAAAAACCCTTCATAATTTCTGCCCCAAACCAAAGTCCATCTAGCTTCTTGACTGTTTTTGTGGTGGCCCCAAAAAATTGCATCAGCAAATTGCTATGTACTACCCAACCCCTCCTACTTTCCATCATCATGGGCAAAAGTAGGTGGAAGGAGAATTCCCAGTGAGGGGGAGGGAGGACAAACTAAAATCTATTCTTAGTCCCAAGACCTCTCTGCTCCACGTGGGCATAACTCTTCTTCTTACAGCAGTGCACAATTGTCTTCTTTGTTCCTACCCACAGCCAGAGCATTCCACAGCAAATTAGTAATCTAAAATTGGAAAATCCCCAACCCATCCACTGGCATTGATGTCCAATTCTGTAGCTGGTTATGCCTTTGAATGCCTTCAGATATCTCACCTGCTTGGGAATCGTTGCTTAAGTTGAAGAAAGATTGGAGAACGAAAGTCCTGTGCATGTGATTGTTCCCTTTTCATTTTTATGAGAGATTTTTTTAAAGAGAGAACGCACTACCTCTTCTACTTCCATTGCGATGTGAAGGAGTAGGGCTCCAGAAATCACAGGGCAGCATTATGTCTAGTTTAAGCACAGTCCTTTTCAAGTTTCCTACTAGGGCAGTTAATCAGCAAGATAATACTCAGACTGAAATTAATTCCCTTGCCAATGACAGAAGCTGCAGGTCTCAGCTCTTCTGTCTGCTCTTGCCATAAGCAATTCTCAGTCACTAGATGGGGAATAAAAAAATGTAACTGGGGAGGGATTACATGAGTATAATAAACATGGCCAAGACCCCAAGGTCTCTGTTAAATAGTAACAATCTCAAGTGACAGATTCCACTTCAAGGCCAGATGGGTTCCTTTGATGTTTATCTGTTTAAACTCACTCATACAGTACCACAGCCTAGGCTGGTGCGCTGCTTTTTCTCTCCACAACCCCTCTGCAAAATCTACATGGTGATACCATCTGTTCCTGTTCTGCCCTGTCTTCTTTTCCTAGGGGCTGTCTGAAACCCCTCAATGACATTATGTTTGAATTTCAGCATATTTGAATATTTTGTCAGGGAGGAAGTCCCATGGAAAAGGATTAAAATAATTTTTTAAGAGAGAGGAGGAAGAAAGCAGGCACCGGTAGCAACATTTCCATATGGTGCCTTTTTTCTGACTATTGATGGAGCTATTGGAGAAAGCTGGTAATTTGGACTCAGCTGTAGCACTGGGCAGAGGGATTTATTTGGTGTATGTATGGGGCAAAGGATGGTGAGGGACTCATACTGAAAGCATCAAGTCCCAAAATTACTGTGGTAATTGCCATATGTCCTTGTTCTGCCTTGGGAATCATCTTCATTTTCAATGATGACTGTCCTTGCTACAAAAAATGGAAACGCTAGGTGGGAACTACTTCTTCCAGTACTGTTGGAAGCTAAAGGAGAAAAAAAAGACAGGTTTTAGATCCTTTATTTATTGCTAAATCCACCTAGTATACACTGCTTACCACATGTATCTTGGAGAGATAATACAGCACAACTGACTTCCTTTGTGTTATAACATACAAGTCAATAGAGTAAGAGGTAAATGGGCATGTGTAGGACCAAACATAAATTCTAGAGGGAAGTTTCAGTTTCTATTAAAAAATTTTATTACAATGTACCTGTATACTTTCCCTTGCCTTCTGAAGATAGGTCCCCTGGTATCCAAAGGGATTTTAGAGTCACTGGTTCTAATAAGGCCACAGGAATATGCAGCAGAGGAGAGCACTGAACACAACTGCTACATTTTCTGGAGAAAGCATGCACTTTAGACCTGTAGGCTTGTAACAGCTTATCGTTCTTGCGGTATGGGAGATCTGCTTATTCATCAGCTAAGTCTTTTAGAGCTTGATTCTAGCTTATCTTTAAATAGCCTATGACCCTGCTATAGCAACACCATTAAATACTGCTTTGAAGAAAAATGTCTGTGTGAGGGTATCAATCAGAGGCTCTGTGGATAAAAACATTATTAGCTAAGAGTAGAGATCACACCCCTAAGCTGCCTGATGAGGCACAAGCCACGAACACTAATGATTAGTCAAATTTTTTCATGCTCCTTTCAGTTTTACTGTTCTTCTTTTGGAAAATATTAAAACTCTCAGATATAACAGTGATGCAACTTAATATTAGGCTGTTGGAGGAAATTTCTTGTGAGAGAAGACTGACTTGACAATGCTGTGCTAGAAGAGTATCTTTCTTTCCTGTCAGTGCTGTGGTTTGTCTGCCAAGCACAGTCATTCTCCAAGGACCCATAGGTTCTGCCAGAAAAAAAGGTGTTGTAATTTGAAAGGCAGTCTTACTTGGGAAGGTAAGCAGTGAAGGTATTTGGAAAAGATCTAAGATTCAGAGCAGACTGGAAAATGTGGTCACAGCGTATGTCTTTCTGAAGGCCTGTGGGGAGTTTCTAAAGGGCAGACCCAAACACTTTCACACTCACAAATCACATGTGAACTGTAAAACACTGTGAAAAAAATCATTGTGTTTTACTATTTCTTTATACCTGTGAGGATTCTTTCAGCGATGTTTTCCTGTTGATTTTTTGCCTTAGAAATACCAAGCCCTCTGTTTTCTCTTTATATTCTGAGGCCCTTGACAAGTTCTCCTTTTATGCTATAAAAATCAGCATGTACTCCCCACAGAGGAAGAAAAGAAGAGCTGTAGAGCAGGTTGCAGCCTTATCTTGTTGCTGTTGGGTCATCTAGCAAAGTGAAAACCTTTTTGATATTTCAGATGTCAAATGGGAAAAAAAAAAAATATAAGAAAAACAGTGAAGCTAGCTTCATACTTTGCAAGTGAATGTAAAAAAAAATAAAAAGTGGAGTGTGTCCATACATGCACATGTGTGATAGAAATTTATTTTCTGCTGTATAGTTCATGTCTGTCAGATGAATTTATTTTACATGTAGTCATGTCACAAGTGAAAGTCAGAAATCGAGATGCTATTAATTGTGCTTCATCAGTGGAAAATACTGTATTCAAATGAATACAGGGCATGAATTTAGGTTGACAGAAAGAAGTTAGCTGGAAGGAAATGAGATTGATTTCTGTATTCTTTTTTTTTTTTTTAAATGGGTGAGATTTTCAGTGGCCCTAAAAGATTAAGCTTCTTGCATTTTTATACCATCTAGACTTTGATTTCTCTGTCACCACAGTGTTCTCTCACACCATGCTTGGAGCATGCATTTCAGCTGACTCGCCTACTGAGAAGAACCGCACCTTGCTCCACCATACCTACTGTAAGCTTTTCCCAGAGGTTTTCATCAGTGACCAGATTTTCCCATTTAAATATAGGGCAGAAGGACTCTGGCCTCCTGTTTTATGTCAGTAGCTTAACATGATAGAATCATAGAACAGTTTCAGCTGGAAGAGACCTTCAAGATCATCGAGTCCAACCTTTGTCCTAGCTCTATCAATACCACTAAACCATGTCTCTAAGTACAACACCTACCAGTCTCTTAAACACCTCCAGGGATGGTGACTCCACCACCTCCCTGGGCAGGCTGTTCCAATGCCTGACAACCCTTTCAGTAAAGAAATTCTTCCTAATATCCAGCCTGAACCTCCCCTGGTGCAGCTTAAGGCCATTTCCCCTTGTTCCGTCGCTTCTTACTAGGGAGAACAGACCAACCCCTGCTTCGCTATGGCTTCCTTTCAGGTAGTTGTAGAGAGCCATAAGGTCTCCCCTCAGCCTTCTGTTCTCCAGGGTAAAAAGCCTCAGGTCCCTCCACCGTTCCTCATACGAGACATGCTCCAAACCCTTTACTAGCTTGGTAGCCTGCCCCTGTACCCTCTCTAGCACCTCAATGTCCTTCTTGTAGAGAGGGGCCCAAAATTGGACACAGTGCTTGAGGTGCGGCCTCACCAAAGCTGAGGACAGGGGAATGACCACCTCCCTGCTCCTGCTGACAGCACTATTGCTGATACAGGCCAGGATGCCATTGGCCTTCTTGGCCACCTGGGCACACTGCTGGCTCATGTTCAACATCTGTCCAACTCTTTTAGGAATGGGAAAACAGCTGAAAAACTAGAAAGAAGCTATATTGCTCACAGAAACTACAAACAGTATATGCATTGTGGGTTTTTTTCCTGATGGAGGATAATGGAAGGGGCTGTCAGAGGCCTTACCTTTCTCTGTGTCTTATAATTGGTGCTGTTTCTGAACAGGACTTTTTTTTTTTTTTAAATTCCCACCCACTCCCCTTCTGGGTCACAATGAGTTACAGCCAAAAAAGCGTGTGGTAGTTGTATCCTCTGAGTCATAGATGTCTGCCCATGCCCTAACGCAGGAGGCGATAGGGACAATGAAGTAGGTTTGGCAAGGTACACTATAACTTTGAAGAGTGGAGCAGAGATTCAGTAGGCCAGACTGGGTACAGTCTAGACCCCAATATAAAAGGGAAAGAAAGAGAAATAAATGAGAGAAATAAAAAGTTGTATTGCATTAGTAAAAAGCAGGATTAGTACAGGGGGAGATAGCAAGCATGGAGTAAAGGCATTAAAGCAGGATTAGCAGGAATAATGCAATTCAAGTTTAAATGTAGGTTTTAAAATGAGGAGCAGCAGCAACTACTGAAAATTATTCCTGAAATACAGTAAGCAAATTACTGTGGGTGCCTCTAGACAGCATGTTTAGCAAGCCAATGCTGGAGCACACAAACAGGTCCAACTGGCCTGCAGTGGAGATATGTTAGTTTGAGAAGGAAGGTTCTAGCTCTAGTGGAGTAAGCTGTCCTGCTGGTTGTGTTTATGCTCCTCCTGAATTAATTTAGTACATGTATAACTTTTCTTAGGATGTAGAATTCTAGAGCAGCCCATGATTTGCTCATTGCATGAGTAGCAGGAGAAACACCCTTGGTGCCAGCTGCCAAGAGCTTCTTTTTGGCAAAACATGAGGCTGGTGATAATGGGGACCAGGAGAATGGACTCTCAGTTTTGCGCAATTGCTGACTCAGAGTTCCTTTAGATTTCTTGTCTTCAGCACTGCAAGAGACCTGAAAAACAGCATAAGAAACCTTTTGCAGTGAATACTTTTTCCTCCAGCGGATCCCAGGAGTCTGGGACTGTTTATAGGTATGTCACTCATCATCTAGTATGGGAATTCTGTTGACTAGGAAGATAAAAACATTTGAATAAGAAATAGAGCACATTTCTAGAGCTTAATCACTAGCTTACTGAAAATACACTAGGCCAAATTTGACCTACGGTGTTTCTATTATGAAGACCAGCAGAAAATTGCAACTGTATAATTTGTGTACATAGCTCAAGAAATACATACGTTCCAATAATTCATGTTCTTTGCATCAGCCCTTGTTTATCTCCCTCTGTGATATCTGTAGTCAACGCAGTATTTCTCATAGGCTCTGTTTTTGTCTTCTCTGCATCCTGCTTCTCAGTCTGCAACACCTACAAACTCAGCATCCAACCTCCCCACACACAGTTTTTCCCACGCTTGTTACCTAGTTGTTAAATCTTTCTGTAGTGCTTGAAGTTGAGGCTTTGAATAGACCCAGTTAGGAGTTCCTCAGTCAAAGCTGACAAGTTTTATAAGATTCTTCAAATGAAATTTTTTTTAAAAAAAAAACAAAAAACCATGCTTCAGAAACTAATTTTGCATTTGCACTCCCCTACTCCACATTTTTTTGTGGATTTAGTGCTGGGGAGAGTGTTGGCTTAGATGCTTCAGTAAATGAATCCTTCTTTTTCTATCCAGGGTAAGCTCCGTATGATTATGGCCCTATCAATAAGTTTTAACTGTGAACTGCAGGCATTGGAGCTCTTTCTTTGTAAAGCAATCAGGCAGCTCAGCCTCTGCTTGATATGCAGTTTGGGGGTGCTCTGTGGAATACGCCAGTCAGGGTGTATAGATGAGATCCTGACAGAGGCACTGCAGTTAGCAAAGTCTGAGAGAGAAATCAGACGGTACTGAACCCAGGCCACTCCAACTAGGCTGTTTCTAGAATTCGAGGCAGCTTCTTTAAAGTTACCTCTGGTACCTCCACGGCATGCTATGGGCCAAGGGGTCTCTGCAGACAAGCATTTTCTGCACAGCGCCAAACATCCATTTAGACTGGAACAGCTTTTAACCTCTACTGAATTTGGCTGGGTTCAAGCTGATGACTTCAAGGCTGAAAGCAATGTCATTAGCAAATTCATGAGGAATCCATCCTCCCCCAAAGGTACTAATGTTTTACCAGAAAAATGGAAGCTGCTTCCTGAAAGTCAATTTATTACATCAAGTTCTTGTTAACACACAGGATGAGCCTTCAGCTCTTTCACAGTAGAACATTGTCTTTTCTGCCTTGCTATGCCTTTTCAAATGTGTTCTGAGACATCTTCTTGTTAAAGCAGCTACTGTACTAGCCAAGATCAAACATTAAGAATGGTATAATAAAACATTCTAATAATAAGACTCCTACAGTTTTGGGCTTTCCCTAGCATCAGAGGATTTACAAATGGATACACAAGCACATAATCTGAGCATACTCTCATATCTAAATGTTTGCACCTTGAAGGATCCCTGAGTTTTACACTGAATTCTACCTGTGGTGACCTTGGTGATTCTTAATTCCTTGTAAAATGGGTGATAGGTAATTAATGATTGGATTAATTATGGATGATGAGTTTTTCCCCAAGGCGGATTGTTGGTTACTAAAGGTAGCAAAGTATTGGCATCAGAAAGGGCAAAACTTAAAGTTTGTATTTTCTTGCCTTTCCACTCAACTCCCACTGAGTACGTCTAGACTGCCTGGTAAGGACAGCCTGGAGGCTGCCTTCAAAATCTGACCCGTGTACTCTGCTGCTGGTGACCCTTTAAATTTGGCACAAGACGTTGCCAGAATGGCCATTTTGAAGCACCCAGCATGCCCCAGCACACAGGGTGGGGAGCACACCTTCACATGCTACCAGGCAGGCTGGTCACTGTGGTAGTCTACAGCTGGCTCCAAGGAGCCATTAGGCTGAAGGAGGAGCACGTCGTGTTTATGTCTGCTCCAGAAAGAAGTGTTTTGCAAATGGTATAGACATCACCATTAGGCTATTGCATATGGGAAGAGTCTGTCTCTCCTCCACCATATGTGAATGTCGACTGAGATGTGTGACACTTCACAGGTCTGTGAGATAGTTTGGGTGATATGATGATGATGATCTCTGTTCCTGTTTAGCCCAAGCCTTACTGTCTGCCTACAGATTGTTTCCTCTTTCTTTTTGCAGGCTTTTTAGTGCAATTTTAGAACAAGCAACCAAAGCAGATGGGGGGAATTCAATAGGAGGAAAAGGTGCCGGATTTGATGTTAAAGCATTGCGGGCTTTCCGAGTATTACGTCCGTTACGGCTGGTGTCTGGAGTTCCTAGTAAGTAATGTCATTGTTTTTCTTTTATGTATGTGGTGTGACATGGGGCAGGAGTAATTCGTGTAACAATTATGAAGATGGAGCGTGATGCAGTTAATTTTTGGTGTGTGTGGGAGGCCTTTTTTCAAATTAAAGTATGCATGATAAACGTGATATTAATCAAACGATGACCAAACCAGAGCTGAAGGGGAATGGAAGTTTCATGGTATGTCAATCTGATCATGCAGCCTTTGTAAACAATGAAAGTGGGAAATCCAAGTTTTTTATGAATTTGAGCAAAAGATCCTTTAAATAATTGTGGAGTCACAGTGCATTGTTGGTATTATAAATACTTGACCTTGATGGAAATGCTGTATGGTCATTTGTGTTAATTTTGGAGGGAGAGAAGCTTTATAATTAAAATTGCATTTTCTTTGCATGTAATGTTCTGATCAAGAGCACTGAGAACGGTATAGAACTAACAATATAGAACTAACAGGATGTAGGGCAATGACAGACGTGTTCTGTATTAGTCTTATTTGCTTAAATTATTTGTAATGCCTCTGAGAAAGTCCTCAAGAGCTTTTGATAGTCTAACATCCATTTTCTTATTTACAGTGAAGGTATGAGTAACTGGAAGTCTGGTAATTCTATTGTGGAGGTGGAATACGGACATCAGAGTGTGGGAGGATTATATCATTTGGCTTGAGAGTTTGTTATAGATGGGTTCTCTTGGCAGTTTGGAGAGAGGGTTAGTTGAAAGCTGTCGTGGCTTTCCATGTTTATAGCAATGAGAGATGTAGCTAGCAGGAAAGGAGTTAATCTTCTCTAGAATAGCTGTGGAAAGAGCTTTGTTTATTTTTATTTGTGGAGCTTGCTGGTTTGATATTTTGAAGTACTTCTAACCTTAGTCATTGAAAAACCTTGAGTCAAGTTACAATAAACTCTGTGAGATCAGCTTAAAAATCATGAATTATTTGTTAGGAAAAAAAAAAAAAAGTGTGAAGTTCTTTCTCTTTGGCTTGTTTTCTGACCCACTATGTTATGTTAGAGCCATGTTTGCAGGCTTTTCTCCACAACCATAAAGGGTAGAAAATTTTTAAATGAAAGGTGAGAATCTCTGTGGGAGAAGCTGAAGCACTGATAGAAGCAAAAAATACTGAGGCAATTGACAGCACTACTATTTGGTCTCACAAAAAGCCATGCTTGGTATCCTGTCTGCAAGGCTCCAGCTTGTGCCCAACTTGGGGTTACTTTGGGCATCAGTGGGTGAGTAGAAAATATCAAAAAGTAGAAGCTGTCTAGTAGGCAACTAAGGACCTTCCCCTCTGATACAGAACCAACATCCACTATTCATGGCACTTCTGTTAGGAATTACTGTAGTGGGCTGTTTCATGCAATCACGTACCGTGGAATACCTTCAGTCTGTTCAGAACGCAGCTCTGCTTTTGGCCAGATTTCCCTCATGAAGCCTGTTCTGCCTATGGTCTTCAGTCTGCACTGGCACCCACTTAATTCCTGGCTGTAAATTAAAGTTTTGTTGGTCTTTCCTAGCCCTTCTCTGATCTAAATCTAAGTCTTTTGGTGCTTTCTAGTTGCCTGCCCACTGTATGGTAAGGGGAAGGCACTCAAGTGTAAGCATCTATGAGCATTCTCAGTGAGATGCTGCTTACGCTAGGACATGTTCTGAGAGTTGTTCTGGCATAGGCTGAGCTTAACTGTGCTTAGTTCTTCCTGTATTGGAGAACATCATGTGTTCCTCAAGACAAAGGTCTTTTGTTACTACTGTTCAAGTAGCTTGACTAGTGCTCTTAGAGGATTAGAAGAAGCTGGGGGAGCCAAATCTGACACAGTTCGCACCCACATGCATATATGATCTTGATCTCCACGTAGACTATCTAATCATAGAATCATTGCGGTTGGAAAAGACCTTTAAGATCATCGGGTCCAAACATTATCCTAACACTACCAAGCCCTTCACTAAACCATGTCCCTAAGCACCACATCTATAGTCCATTTTTGGGTTTTCTTAACAAGAGAAGTATTTAATTTGCACCAGAATAGAGCCAGGGAGCCTGGTATGTGCCAACAAATATTTGGTCTAGACAATGAAATGCCAGCCCAGTGTGAAGCAGGCAAACCATCAACTTGACCTGACAGACATCCTCTATTAGTCTTTATGGTCCTGACTAAGGGACATATTTATTGAACTAGGTTTATTTGAGGCTCGTGCAGCTTTCAGAAAGCCTACTGAGATCTGTAGCTAATAAGGCCTCAATCTTCACTGGGCATTTTTTAATTGTACAAATGCCTATCGATTAGCCTGGATAGATGTTATCACAACCGTATGTATTCAAGTGTAACTTTTCTCATGAGGCCTTTTAGATAAGATTGCCTAAGCCAACCATAAATAGTACATTACAGGGATTATTACATAATAAGTTAGTGCAGAGGTTTAGAAGTCAAATCTCTGAGTTCTATTCAAGTTCTGTCCCTGAGACATCATGAACACCAGTCAGCAGGTTACCAACATTGCACTTGCTGTGTTTTGCCATCCGTAAAGAAATGCCTTTTGCTTCCTTCCCCTTCCGAAACGTAGTAGACTTTTCCACTGTGAGGAGAAAACCTGCAGATTTCTCCTAAAATTACATGAACATAAAATGCACTGCAATTTCTTCTCACTTAACAGACTTTGTAAGTGTATGGAAGCAGCATCTCATTAGTAAGAGGGGATCCTCTGGGTCATTGGCAGCCGCCTTTTGCATGGAAAGCCCAACATCTGCTGCTTGACTTGGATCTAACTACCACTATTTGGGAAAAAAAGTGCAAGGCAAAATGATTCTTATAAACTAAATTTATGAAGCACGTGGTGAATTTTTGCATGCAAATCTTAAACTCATCAGGATTGGGGTTGGGAAATAGGTTGTCTGAGGTGGAGAGTTTGGCTTGCAGCATGGAATAATTTTTTCTGAGTCAAAAGAATTTTTCTCTCTGGTTCAATCCGGAGGAAATAATCCAGTTTAAGAGGGACATCTTTCGTATTCAGGTTCGAGCATCTAAAGACCTTTCTCTTTATAGACCTCTATACATTTCAGAGTATAGAGAGTTTCTACATAAGTATGACTAGAAGTCAGGGAAAAACATGTGACTTGCCCTCTAAAGTAAATTACTAGTGTCTGCATTTTGCAGATGGAGAGACTGAAGCAAAAGTTCAAGGTTTAACACTTTTAGAAGTGGCTTCTAATTCTGCATGTCTCATATTGGGTACTGGTGCTAGACACTTGGGTCAACACGGGTATCTGAAAGTTTCAGATAGATGGGTAGAGGATTTTAGCATCAGAGCTGAGAATCCCTTTTCTCTAAGTCCCGTCCATGCTTAGTTCCTGGGACTTGGTTGTCCCTTGCCAGAAAACATCTCGGCAAAGAATTCAGGGACTGTTAGTGAAGGAAATTGTTCATCTGCAGGCAAAGTTGGTTCACCCACAGGCAGACAAGCAAAGGTACCTTTGAAAATCTTTGTTAGGATCAAAATGTCCCAGGCCCAAATTACTTCAGTGGCTTCTAAAATCAAAAGGGGTTGAGGTCATGAATTCAACAAAGCCTGAAAATTATGTCTGGACTACTGTCATGGGCACATAAATATTTCATAATCTTTAAGAGAACAGATGATACTTTTGTTCTTTGTGGTTATATGGACATTCACAAGACCACTTGTCATAAGGAAGGAGATAGACATTTTGTTTAAAAGATGAGACAGACTTTTTTACCCATGTCACAAAACCAATTGTGGCATCAAGGGAGAAGCCTTCAAAGGCACAGGATTTAATGTCTTTGGATTCCCTTAACACCTTCAAAAATTGATGTTGAGTATTTACACATTTCCAACCAGTGCAACAGGGATTGATTCATTTGGTTTGTTGTGTGGTTTTGGGGTGGTTTTTTTTAGTTTGAGTTCCTTTCTTGAAAACATTTTTTGAAGTAAGAAGTACAGGTTTTGTTGTGATTATGTGAGGTGCACGGCAGAGCAGTAGATTAGATACTTCCCACAGCTCTCATCCCAGTGCTGACAGTTGCTTTGTGAACAAAATAAAATTCAAAAGGGATAATTAAGCAAACTCCTTTTTTATTATTGTTATTTCTAACTCTTTTTAAACTCATACTGCTTCTGGAAGAATGATTCACTCCCAGTCTGTTTAGCCAGGCATTAACTCGTAGATTAATGGTGAATATTTTCAAAAGCCCATGGATGATTTAGGTTTCACAGCAGTAAGTCACTTTTGAAAATTAGACATAAGCATTTTATATCATTGATACACAGGCCAGACTTCACTGTTCGACTGTTCTGTTACTGTTGTACTAACATAATTCTTGTAGTGCATACTTTATTTCAGTTGCTGAAATAACTTTACTGCTGGTGTACTAAAGCAGTCTCCCTATAAGAAAAAAAAACCCTTCACATATGCATTAGAGCACCCACCTTAATGTGGCATTAAGATCAATATATTGGTTTGAGAAATAAGAGAGAAGGAAAACAATTCCCCTGACGGACATAAGTAGACAAGTGCAAAATCAGCATGTATACCAAAACCTAATCATGTTAGTGTCTTGGAAACTGTTACCCAGTATCTCCTTTGGCAGCAGTGTAAAGAATTGCAAAACCTTCTAGGGACAGAATCAAGTCAGCCCTTCTATGTTGAGAGTTTTCTGTTGATTACTCTTCTATCTCCATTTTACATTATTACATATTTTAAAACTTGTTTAAAACATTTTGTGCTTGAGGAGGGCAAAAAGAAACATCCAATTTGGCAATGAAGAAGCATGATCCAATTAAAAAAGAAACTCACTGCTGACTATTGGAGAGGGCAATCAGTTACTCCTACACATACTAACTCACGCCCATTTAACTTATTAAATTCCATTTCTGTCACCTTTATTCATGCTGCTCAATTATACCACCTCATACATTCTGTTCATCCTCTTTATGTTGTACTTCATCTTCATGTTACTACATTGTTGCCACT